TGAAAGTCATACATTCATGACATACATTCAGTACAACTAATAATAAGAATAATTATCGATTTTCAAATATTGCCATTATTTTTGCCTATATACAGTCATTTGGATCTTCAAAGTACCAGGTTATAGAGACCAAATATGCCACAAATATGATTCTGGTTAACCATAGAATGCAAAGTCTGAAACATTAAACCATTAGAGTTTACAAGAAAAAATAGACCATATACAGTACACACACACACAAACATATATATATATTGTATCCGAATCGTATCCGAAATAAAAGTTTGTGTTTACATAACACATGTTTGTGTAGTGTGTATAATTAATTTGTATATATAAATACCCACACATGCATGTATATATTTAAGAAAAATGTGTTTTTAATATATCAAGTATTTATATATAATATTAATTGTGAATAAATATATATAAAATATATACATGCACATATTTCTTAAATATATACATGCATGTGTGGGTATTTATATATACAAATTAATTATACACACTACACTCAAATATATTATGTAAACACAAACTTTTATTTTGGATGCGATTAATCGCGATTAATCGTTGCCCATCCCTATATATATATATATATTCCATTCAGGTAGGCTACTAATATGTACACTCTATGCACTCTACGCTCTAAATGCACTCTTTAGGTATATAAGGCATACATTTTGAAAGGGTACAGCCCAAGTGACAGCTTTTGTACCTTTTTTTGTGAGAGTGCAACCACCGGCAACATCCTAGAATCTTGCTGGCGACTATTGCATTGACAATTATCAGAATATGTGTCTAGAAATGCGATTATCATCATGATTACATTTTTATATTCGAAATGTTTTACCCAATGTAGGTTTTGCGCTGGAGTTCAGACCGTGCCCATCTGAAGGCCTGGCAGCGTGGATTCACAGGGTACCCGCTGGTAGATGCAGCAATGAGACAGCTGTGGCAAACTGGCTGGATGAACAACTACATGAGACATGTGGTGGCCTCCTTCCTCATTGCTTATTTGCATTTTCCCTGGCAAGAAGGATACCGCTGGTTTCAGGTGACTCATACAGAAGACACCAAATTAATTCTTTTGATTTTGAGCTGACTATATAATGTTATGCTACAGCTAATGTAATACCCCTAAGGCCCTAACTATAACTATTAAAGGGTTAGTTCACCCAAAAATGAAAATTCTGTCAGTAATTACTCACCCTAGTGTCGTTACTACCCCGTAAGACTTTCGTTCATCTTCAGAACACAAATTAAGATATTTTTGATGAAATCTGAGAGCTGGATCACACCTTCATAGGCTTCTAGGTAATTTCATCTGCTGGCCCAGAAAAGTTAGTAAAGACATTGTTAAAATGTGTGTTAAATGTGTTAAAATACAATGGATCAACTTTAAGTTTATCAAACAATGAGAATACATTTTGTGCGAAAAATAACAGCTTTATTCAACTATTAATTTTCTTCTGTGTGGGCCTCTGACATGAGTTCACAAGAGCGAGAACTGAGAAGATGACGCAGATGGGTCTCGATGTAGTGTTTAAAATGGTTCTAATGTGTGCACTTTCTGGATGTCCGAATCTTGAGAAACCAACGATACAACGTACAAGTGCCTTACCAATGCAAGGGCTTACCTTTCACACTTTCCCATCAAATTATTGTGAGCGTCATCTTCTCAGTTCTCACGCATGCTTCGTGGCCCTCTCGTGAACTCACTGTGAGAGTACTGTGAATCTGGCCTACTATATTAGAAAAGTATACATTTTGAATACAGCCGTCGACTAACTCATCACAAATGTATTGGAGTACATATACTTATTCAAAAGTGGTCATGTAGATCATGTAGTGTAGATTATGTAGTCAACTAGAGAGTAAAATGTATATCTTTGATACTCAATCAAACTACAATTCAGCCAAAAAGATACCAAAGTACAGTAACGAATTATATTTGAAGAGTTCTGATGCAAAAGTGTCTTCAGTGCCATTTAAAATTTTCTTCTAGAATGATAATTTTTATCAAGCTTGTATATTTAAGTTTGTGTAATTTCACTTAAATGACAATTAATAGGTAATCTTCATTGCCATTTAAGTGAAATTACTGAACTTAAATATACAAGCTTGATAAAAAAAAAAAAAGATCATTCTAGAAGAAAATTTCAAATGGCACTTTTTAGATGCTTTTGCATCTGAACTCTTAATCCAATATTTGCAGCTAGCAACATACTAGCAACCAGCCAAAGTACCCTAGAAACCAGAAAGCAAAACCCTGGGAACTACCTTCATCACAGTAGCATTGTGCTGGCGAGTTTAGCTGATTTAAAGATAGAAAATGTGACAACACTTTGAGAAATGACCTGTAATGGACCATTGAACACAGCATATCAACGCTTTCTCCATTTTATAGGACACACTGCTGGATGCTGATGTTGCCATAGATGCCATGATGTGGCAGAATGGAGGAATGTGTGGACTGGATCATTGGAACTTTGTCATGCACCCTGTTGATGCAGCACTGACCTGTGACCCCTATGGTACCTATGTGCGGCAGTGGTGTCCTGAACTGAAGGCCCTCCCTGATGACCTCATCCATAAGCCCTGGAAGTGTCCAGCATCAATGCTTCGTAGGGCAGGTGTGTTATGCTAATCTGCTCACGGTTATCTCAAACTGAGACTGATTAAATGAGATATACTGTTAATATCACATATAAACTAGATTCATTTCATCTAGTGAAAATGTTTGGAACTGGGGCCAAACAAAATCTTACTGAAAGCTCATTTTTTGAGATATCAAGCTAAAATTTGGAACATAACTAATGTAAATTTAATGGCTTTGTTTTTCTTGCCGTTTTAGAGTAAAACATGTTTTTAAAAATATATATTTCATTAAAAAAAATGTAGTATTTTTGTGAATTTTTCTTAACAAAACAGAAAATTCTGCAACCTTTTTAAAGTTCAAGTTTAAAGGTTTTTTTTAGAATTTTTTTTCACTTTCATCAATAATTTGCCAAGTTATCTTTGAAAAGAGATCAAACTTAAGTCTGTGCTCTAAATCATTCAAGATTTATGACATTATGACAGACAAAAAGTGCAAAAATTATGATAACTACTGCATAAATAATAATAATTCAGTACCATAAAATCCCCTAAAAATATAAATACAAAAAAAATATTACATTAATTTCATTAAAAAAAATTAAAAAATCATTTTTGACCACCATGTGAAGAGCACCAGAGACATTAGAGCAATTTTTAAACCACTTAAGTGCAGTAAGACTTGACAGAGAACTAAACAGAAAGCCTCCCTGCATGTAAATACTGAATTGCGTTCATTTTTGCAGTTTATTGAGCTTCAAATAATTCTGTCTAAATGCCCATCTTGGTGTGTATTTACATAAACGCCCCTGCTAAATCACCATGAATTCATATAGTACTGGTCAGATATAGTACTGTCCCACTTCCCATGATGCTGGTGACTAGCAAACCAGCATAATATCTAAACACCAGTCTTGAGTATTAAGTTGAGACTAAAGTGAACATAAATATTTGGGGGAAATTTGGATTTTGCTGCTTTAATGTAATCTAAAATCATTTCAAATGTTGGCATTATAACCTTATTTGCAGCAAAAAAGGACTATATTGTGATGTATTTTGTTATTCGGTTTCACACTGAAAGATGTCGCATTACAAAGTTTGCTTTCTGTTCACAGGTGTGGTTTTAGGGGGTAACTACCCAGAGCGGGTTGTTACTAACCTTGAGGAAAGACGTGCACAGTCTCTACAGGATGTTGCATCAGTGCGGAGGCGTTTCAGACAGTTTATAGACCAGCGATCAGGCTGCGATCTGGTGCCTCTGCCTGCCAGGCTGGTACAGGAAGCTCTGGGTAGTATGGAGGATGTTGTGAGGCATGAAGGAAATGGGTTTCTTCTCCCAGTCATCACCCGCATGGAGTTTAAACACCATTCGGAGGATCCAGACAGGCAGGACAACCCGTACAACGCTGTGCTAAAGGGCTACGTCAGTCGCAAACGGGATGAAACCATTGCCTTCTTCAACGAGCGAGACTTCACGGCCAGTGTGATGTGTGAAACCGCACAGCGTAGAGAGAGGTTAGAGAGGGACTGTTGTCTTCTGGAGGGTCTACCTCAGCCGACAGCCTCACGTGGCCGGGCCAGGCGTACCCCAACCAGAGACCCTTACAGCAAAGTGCCTGGGGGTGTCCCTATTCCCCACAGATAACAACAAAAAGAGATGTTTTAAGGCTGGAACACAGTAAATGACTTCTGCTTATTTTTTCCCCCCACAATTTGCAGTCTGGATCAGTTGGTGAAAGGCAGCAAGTCTTCAGTATTCACACAGTGCAAGATGGGCACAAATTCACAGATTTTTTTTTTTAGCTTCAGACTATGATTTCATGCAACGAGGCTCCTGTTTCTGCCTTTGCTTGTGGCCAGGTGCCATGTATTCCAGCTCTTAGTGCCTTTTAACTTTTACAAAAAATACTTTTAGATTTACAAAAATAGTTTTTTAGACTATAAAATGGACTTTTTACAGTCTTACTTTGGTAAATAATCCAGTACAAATAACCAATTTAACATCTATTTTGCTCATGAGTTTATATAGCATACCATTACTTTTCTAAGCTGTCCGATTTAAGGTTTTCACCCGGTTGCAAATAAATAAAAGGTCCTATTCATTCATTGCATTGAAGGAGGGACCTGCTAGTTAGAAATCAGAACAACAGAGACCTTTGATATTATTTTGACTGGCAAGCAACTATATTAGAAAGTAAATATTGTGCATTTTGTTTGCATGTTCACTATATGGTGTTCTATATTTAACATATTTATGACTTTTTGTCTTTTAATGTATTTCTTAAAACAACAATACCCTTAATTTGCAGACATTTTGGGTTCTATATTTCTTACAGTAGATCTGAGAAGCACATTTGACTCCAAAGCAATATTTCTAATGCAATAAAACCATTTAAATCCAGTGAGTTTTAAATAGTTGTTTAATGTTAATCACTTTCACTCAACTGTGAGTCCTCAAAACCAACAGATTTCATAACTGTCCTCAAATTGGACTTTTAGTGTTATTCATACTTCCACATTTTATTTGTAGCTTATTCCAAGCAATGACAAACTTTCACAGGAACAGTGCGACATCTACAAATGAGAAGAAACTGTTACATAAGCTGTGCATATTTGATCTTCAACTCTCTGTGGCTAGAAAACAAACAAAGTAACGGGCTCAATCAATCCAGGCCTGCTTGTTGTTTTCCAAGCGAAGTGCATAATGTTGTGACCATGTCCAATGGTTGAGTGTGGGTTGAAGGGAAAATATATTTTAGAAGAATTAACTACAAGCAAAAAGCAATTGATTAAGAAATAAACATTCCTTAATTGGTTCTCCCCCATATGCAACATGCCAGCAGAACGATCTAGTCCTCTATAGATTTGATGTATCTCTCATAAGCAGCTTCATCCATCAGTTCGTTTAATTCCTCAGGAACAGATACGGTCATCTTCATCAGCCAGCCTGCGAACAAAATACACACTTAATGATGACAAATTATATTTTTGAGTGAGATATTCCTTAAACCTTCTCACAACAAGTTGGTTGGCTGGTTTGCGTCAAAACAAGTTTGGAGGAATGTCTCACCATCTTTATAGCAAGACTTGTTCACCAGTCCTGGGTTGTCCGCCAGGGCATCATTGACTTCTGTCACTTCCCCCGTTAGAGGAGAGTACAACTCACTTGCTGCTTTAACACTCTCCAGAGTACCGAATTCATCTACAATACAGATTATCAGAACGTTCACAATTTATCATCTGCTTAACACTCATACTGAGAATGTACTCTCTTATGCTTACATAAATATAGTTTTACCTGACTGTGATAAATTTGCACCAACTTCAGGGAGCCCACAGTAGACAACGTCCCCCAGAGCCTCCTGGGAACAGTGGATTATAAACATGAAAATACAGCCTATATACCCTTTTTCTATATAAAAAATAAGCATTAATAACTCGCCTAACCTGAGCAAAATTACTGATGCCTACTGTTGCCACACCACTGTCCACGCGAACCCACTCGTGTTTGTCTGTGAACTTTAGTGCTGCATGACACAGAGAAAACAGACTTGTTCGGGTCTCAGACGAATCAACACAGGGTAAACAATCAAGATTTATAAATGCACATAGTTCATTTCATACATAATGCACAACTTCAATTATAACCGGGATAATCGCTGCCTTAGTGAAGCAATTGAAATGATTGCATGATCAGTGCCTTCTACAGACAGATAGACAGCGTATCTGGCATTTGAAGGTACTCAATATCACTTGTCAATATCAATGTGATCACAAAGGTTCACGCGTGGCGCTTGTAAACTTTCATAAGTGTGGATACCTGCGCAAAATGGAGCGGTTGTGTTCAGGAACCTTTTATAGCATGTTCTCGCCAGTAGTCTAGCTGGAGTCAGAGAATTTCTGCTTGAGAGTCGAGGTAGAGAGGAGGTCAAACTAACAGAGACACATCGTAATATTGTGCACATCGCCATTCTTCCCCGTACGCAAATAACAATGGACCCCGGCGCGCCTCGATGATGTCATTATTCGAATGGACTATGCGCGCCAAAGCAGTGCTTTCTTTGAGATGCGTGTTCGGTTTTGGTCATTTGGTTTGGAGGGTAAATATCTAGTATTTAGAACCCGGACCGGATACTTGACAGTTACCATGGACATGAACATTTTAGATATTAACATGAAGATTTTGCGTTAAATTCACGTCTACGTTTATGATGAGATGTATTATGCGGTTGTAAAATTCACTCCAATAGTTATTCTATGGTGTGACAAATTACACTTTTAGTACAAATAGGCCTAATACGGGATTATAAAACTAAAATATAATAATAGATTTATTAATTTTAAATTGGGCTATATGCCTATTTATTTATAGAGGGAAAATATAATTGATCATGTATTATGGATTAAATCAGTTCATAAGCAGAATGTGAATACCAAAAAATAAACTGATCAATTTATAGGCAACAAACTGTAAAAGTTCATTTGTGTGCAATATTCGTTTTATCTGACCAGCTCATTGAAAAAGACATAGTAACCAAAGTAACAGAAACTTATAATAGTGACAATAGTGCTGTCATTACTTTAATTTGTTAGACAGTCACATTTACATATAGCCTACCCTAGGTTTTGTGTGTACTCTTAAAGAGACAGATTATTTACAAAATTATAGGCTAAAAAGGTCTTAAAATGTCAACCACTGGATAATTTCTTATCCAAATTTGAATAACAAAAAATAGATTATTAGAGGTTAGACGCTCGCCAACAGAAGCCGCGTTCACCTCAGGAGGAAATGCAATGCAACAGGCTGCGCGAGCTCTTTCCTTTTAGGGTAACGGACGAATTGTAACTATACGATTAATTTCAGCAAACAATATTCTTAGTAGGCTATAAGGATACGAATATGAAAAATCTATTAAATACATTGTGAACTGTCCAAACCATTGTGACGTTATAAGCAAACTTATGGTCATACTTCACCAGCAACTGGAATAGGCTGTCTATCACCAGATCTTTATGCCATTCCATGAGGTATGAGTGCTCGAGTGCTCGTGCGCGCAGGTGCGCTCCGTCTTCCTGATGCCGCAGGTGCGCGCAGGTACATCATCCTCCTCTGATTTGTACAGAAGATGGACGTTTATCCTTCACTACTCTGGGACAAATCACAATAGTTTGTTAATCGTACATCCTAGATTTTAACTTGATTAATCCTATAAGAATATTAGTTTCAGCTGAGAATTTCAGTCGATTCTCCTAAAATGAAACTCGTAATTTCATGATCGTTGAAGGACGTCCGTCGCTCTGAGATGAACGAACAGCGGGACATTAAACTGTTTTCACTCTGTACACTTTTCATTTTCAAGCTATTTGTGCTTCAAGGTAAGTATAATTTTAACTCTGAACCATGCTTCACCCCCCTAAAAATCAATTGGTAACCTTTCTAAAATTTCCTAAAAAACCCTTCTATTTATTTTTTTATTTATTTATCCAACAACAGTAAAATTGTGGTTATAATGTTTTAGCCACAATACATTTAAACATTCTGAAAACCTACAATTTTTGTAAGAGATCCCAGAATAATGTATAAATGTGTTTTAGCAGAAAATATATTTACCATGGTAAAAATTTGTATGTGCTATAGGCTATATGTAATGTAATTTCTGTAAACTCTGAATTATGTATTATGTAAATCAATCTTAAGCTTCGAAAAATGTGCAGTTTACTTACAATTTACAAAATCTTAAAGTTTTCAGTGTCTTAAGACTACAGTATTAGACTAAAAATGGAGCACCTCACCTACGTAGTTATAGCATACAATGGTTTATTAACATAGTCTTTACAAAGTTTGTAAATATGATTGATTTTACATTAATATAATTGTACTTTTGACAGGATTTATTTGCCAGGAATCAAACTCACAAAACAAACTCCCCAGGTATGTGTTTTTCTAGGTATTAAACCTCTTGTTTTGGCGCTTTCATGACTTTTACAAATGTGTTAATATTGCAATTTGATTGTACCTTTAAAAACTGGTGAACTTTATCAAACATCCATTATTACACGGAGCTTTTAAGCAGATAGACAGTGTCAAGTTATGTAACCACTGATAAGATGTTAAGTGTTTGGTCTAATGTTTTGCTATGTAACCATTAAACCATTTCCTTGAGAATCATTTAGTCCATCAACGTGACTGTGTCTGTGGCATCTTAAGTGTTTCTGAACCTTTAGTCTCACAGTCACCGCACTTTTAATACTGCTCTCTTTGTGCTACTTTTAAAAGGAGGGTTAATGCACTGCGGCAGAAACGGGATCTCTTCCGTGAAGAGGTGAGTATACCTAAGAGAAAGTGACAAGGGACGGAGTGGAGTAACCACACACACACACGCACACACACACACACACACACACACTCACAAATACTGAGATACACTCTCGGTGCTGACAAAGCTGTCTTTGTGGAGTTTACACAAATGCTACAGACACTGAAAGCTCCATTCCCAAATGTCTGCAGTGGCAAAAGCATGCAGGTGAGGGAACGCCAAGACAAGTTCACCAATATGGCTTAGTGGCCAGACATGGTACTGTTGCCACTGTAGCTCGTAAGACACAAATACTTGGCTAATTTTCGATACAATTTTTTTTCTCTCTGCAGACCCTTAGTGCAGTGCTGTCTGATTCAGCTCTCCCTCGCAGAGTTCTTCATAATTATACAGCGAGAGATGCATCAACAGGTATTGCACAAAAATATACAGCATACAATCTCACTTGATCTTGGATGCTAGAAATATCAATTGAGTTATCCTTTAATAAAAAAAATCATCTAGAGATAACTTTGATAAAGATTGGATAGTGGCTTTGGATGCTTTGAACAGAAGAATCCAAAGCTGGACAGAAAACTATTTAAAACCAAGGAAATGGTTCTATGGGTTTCTTTAAACTGGGATACTCCACTTTTTTTTGGAAATAGGCTCATTTTACAACTCCTCCAGAGTTAAACAGTCGAGTTTTACCGTTTTTCTGACATTTATATCAGAAAATCGGCTGAATGGATTCGAAAACGGTAAAACTCGACTGTTTAACTCTGGAGGAGTTGTAAAATGCGCCTATTTCCAAAAAAAGTGGAGTATCCCTTTAAGGTGATTCACACTACACCGACAGACGCGACCAACACGCGGAAGCCGACAGAGGTGACTCACTAAACCGACCAAAACCTGACAAACTATTTGGTGTCTGTGTTGGTGCAGTGTGAATTGGCCCTTAGACTCCCAGGCAAAGGAAAATTAAAAATATGTCCGGACAAAAACATTGGGGGTGTGCTACTTCAGTGCTTGACCACATACTTTTAAGTTTTCATTTTCTTTATTAGTAATACTTGGTGAAATTTGCCTTTTGTGTTTGTGTGTGTTGTAGAATATTGCGGGTGTCTTAATGGGGGCTGGTGCCAGGAGGAAGGACACTGTGATTGTGCTCAATTCCAGGGTCTCGGGGAACGCTGTCAAATCAGTAAGACACACACACACACACACACACACACACAGGTTATATTAAATTCAAAATGAAGCTTGCTTGGATTTAATTATAGTGAGGTACATATGGCCTGATATTATCATCTGCCAGCCAGTGCTGACCATTAAATGTGGATGAAAGAACCCTGAATTTAATTACTAGAAATCAAATGGCATTGCTCACTGGTTCCAGATAATCTATGTGACTACGTCTTACTTCATTTGGTAGCATTGGATTACATATGTGCTGGGAATATATTGCTTGCCACAAAGAGCTTCTGTATGTATGTTTAATTAACTAGGCAATAACCAACACAATAACAGGTTCCTGCACATACTGTATTGATATAAGCCATACTGATTACACGCCCAATGGGGAATTGATTACATGGGACACAAATATTGAGTTAGATGGTTAAATAATCACTAACAAAAAAAGTAACAAGAGTTACATTGATACTCTACTAAGGGTTTTTGGGCATATCCCCATGCATTATTTGAAATACCAAGTTAACTACCATTCAAATGTTTGGTGTCGGTATCTAATGAGACTATAAATACATTTGTATTTTTATTGAGTGAGGATGTATTAAATTGATCAATAATGACAGCAAAGACATTTATTATTTTATGAGAAATTTCTATTTAAAATAAATGCTGTTCTTTTGAACTTTCTATTCATCAAAGAGTCCTGAAAAAATTATTATGGTTTCCAAAAAGATATTAATCAGCATTTTCAACGTTGATTTTTGAGCATCAAATTAGCATACAAGAATGATTTCTGAAGGATCATTTGACACTGAAGACTGGAGTAATGAAACTGAAAATTCAGCTTTGTATCAAAGAAATAAAGTACATTTTGAAATGTATTTAAACAAATATTTTAAATTGTAATATTATTTTATCATAAAATAATATGTTTTATCAAAATATGCGTCTAGGAGAGCATAAGAGACTTCTGTCAAAAACATTTGAAAGTCTTACTGACCCCAAACCTTTGAAGTTTAGTGGACATATTTTGTTATCATTCAATCCCATAATTCTATGGTATTTTCACCATCTATCATGTCTTATGGACCTGCCACAGTACTTTTTTGTAATGTTGTATTTTAGTTCCCAACCATGGTCAGGATAGGGATGGGATTTGCCGTTCGTGGGGTCAGCATCATTTTGAGACCTTTGATGGAATGTTTTACTACTTCCCTGGAACCTGTTCATATATCCTGGCCAAAGACTGCCATTCCACAGAGCCCCAGTATACGGTGTGGGTAAGTTAAAGCTACACCAGTATTTCTGCAATAGAACACAGGTCTGTTTCCTATGTACAATTTTCTTTTGATACCTGCATTGCAAGTTTATTTCTCTTTGGCAGGTTCATAACAGTCGTTCATGTAGAGGTTCGGTGTATTCATGTCCACGTGGTCTAAGTCTGTTCTTCCCAAATGAAGCGGAAATCTATATTAGTGGTTATCAGGTGCTCAAGGATGGACATAGGTGAGT